GAGAGGCTGGCGATGCGTCGCGTTTTCGGGTCTGGGGATCCCGAGCTTTTGTCCGCGACGCGTCCGCGGACAAGCTCTCCCGTCGCACTGTCCCCTGCGTCTTCCTTGGCTTTGTCCCGGACGCCCCTGGTTGGCAGTTCTACCACCCCACCTCGCGTCGTGTCCTGGCCTCTCAGGACGTCACTTTTGACGAGTCCGTCCCCTACTACCGCCTCTTCCCCTACCGCACTGCCCCGCTCCCCCCCCCGCCTCTCTTCCTAGCTCCTGGTGCTGAGGTCCCAGACCCCCTCCCCCCTCAGGGTGCCGCTCCTTCAGGTGTGTCCCAGGTAGACCCGGGTGAGCCGGTCGAGGTAGCTGTTGACTCTCGTCCTGCGTCTGGGGGTGCTGAGCCTGGGGGTGCTGAGTCTGGGGGTGCGGAGCCTGGGGGTGTTGAGCCTGGAGGTGCGGAGCCTGGGGGTGCGGAGTCTGGGGGTGCTGAGTCTGGGGGTGCTGAGACTGAGCGTGCTACACCTGGAGGAGCCCTCTCCTCCCAGCAGCTGCAGGAGAGGTACCTCGAGTACTGCCGCCTCCGGAGAGGTGCTGCTGGAGCTCGTCCCGGTACTTCCCCTCCTACCCAGGAGCTCCCCCCCATTCAGCAGATCCGAGAGTGGTACACACGCCGCTGCAGTCTTCGGAGTGGTCCTCCGGGTGCTACGGACCTTGGGGGTGGCGCTGCTGCTGCTGCTGAGGACCCGGGCGTTGGAGCTGCTGCTGGTGCTGAGGACCCGGACAGTGGAGCTGCTGCTGGTGCTGAGGACCCGAGCGTTGGAGCTACTCCTGGTGCTGAGGACCCGGCCGGTGGAGCTGCTGCTGGAGCTGAGGACCCGGACGGTGGAGCTGCTGCTGGTGCTGAGGACCCGAGCGTTGGAGCTACTCCTGGTGCTGAGGACCCGGCCGGTGGAGCTGCTGCTGGAGCTGAGGACCCGGACGGTGGAGCTGCTGCTGGTGCTGAGGACCCGGCCGGTGGAGCTGCTGCTGGTGCTGAGGACCCGGACGGTGGAGCTGCTGCTGGTGCTGAGGACCCTGCCGCTGGTGTCTCTACTGGTTCTGGAGACGCTGCGCGGCCGCGACCGTACTTCGTACCACTTCTTCAGCAGGTTCTTGGTCAGGCTCCTCCTCCCTGTCCTCCTCCCTCAGTAGAGTGTCCTCCGCCTGTCCAGTCGCCGTCACAGTTACCGCCTGCCTCGCCTCTCCCTGCTCCCTCTCCTTACACTGGTCCCACAGGAGGTCTTACAGAGCGTCGTGAGCCTGAGTCTTGTCCTGCGTCGCCTGTACGTACTGCTCGCACTGGTCGTCGTGTCCCATGTGAGCGTCCTCCTCCAGTCCCTGGCACTCACTACATGACCCTGCGTCCCTCCACTGCTCCTCAGCGTGTCCCACTACCGTCTCCTCCTGCTTCCTCTCTGCCTACTCTTCCTGACCCGGAGTCTGACTCCCGTCGTGCTGCCAGTCCCACTGTCACCCGTCTCCTCGCTACTGTTGTCACTGACCCTACCTTTGAGTCCTCTGTTGCGTCTGCTCTGGTCGCTGAGTTGATAGACTTTGCTGCCCGGTGTCGTCTAGACTACGCCACTAGCCTTGTTGCAGAGTCTGAGTCTGCGTCTGTCTGTCCTCCGTCCGTCGGGGGTGAGTGTGCTCTTGGCACGGACGTCCTTGAGGACAGACAGGAGGAGTTCCAGTGCTTTGCTGCTGCTTTGCCCCACCTCGTGTCCATGCTAGTTGCCCCTGAGGGAGACCCGGATGCACCAGACATCCCGACCCCGCGCACTTACGCTGAGGCGATGGCGGGTCCCTACTCCTCTCAGTGGCAGACAGCCATGGACGCTGAGATGGCTTCCTGGAAGTCCACACGCACCTACGTCGACGAGGTTCCCCCACCTGGGGCGAACATCGTCAGTGGCATGTGGATTTTCAGGGTGAAGCGGCCGCCGGGTTCTCCTCCTGTCTTCAAGGCGCGCTACGTGGCTCGAGGCTTCAGTGAGCGAGAGGGAGTTGACTACTTTCAGACTTTCTCCCCCACCCCGAAGATGACCACTCTTCGGGTGCTGCTGCACATAGCCGCTCAGCGTGACTACGAGCTTCACTCCCTTGACTTCAGCACTGCTTTCTTGCAGGGCAGCCTGCACGAGGAGATCTGGCTGCGCCGCCCTCCTGGCTTCACTGGGTCGGTTCCTCCTGGTACCCAGTGGAGGCTTCAGCGGCCGGTCTATGGTCTCCGCCAGGCACCGCGTGAGTGGCACGACACACTGAGGACGACACTTGCGGCTCTTGGGTTTGCTCCCTCTACTGCTGACCCGTCACTGTTTCTACGCACAGACACCTCACTGCCGCTGTTCTACATCCTCGTGTACGTCGACGACTTGGTCTTTGCCACTGCTGACACCGCGGCACTCGCCCACGTGAAGTCGGAGCTGCAGAGGAGACACACGTGCACAGACCTGGGTGAACTGACAAGCTATCTTGGCTTGCGGATCACCCGGGACAGAGCACGTCGCACCATCACCTTGACTCAGTCACACATGGTGCAGCAGATCCTTCAGCGCTTCCGCTTCACGTACTCCTCGCCTCAGTCCACTCCTCTGCCTACCGGTCACTCGCTCTCAGCTCTGCCTTCGGATGAGTCCGTAGAGCCGAGTGGCCCGTATCCAGAGCTTGTGGGCTGCCTCATGTACCTGATGACCTGCACTCGACCTGACCTTGCATACCCTCTTAGCATCCTTGCACGCTATGTCGCTCCTGGCCGTCACAGGAAGGAGCACATGGATGCTGCTAAGAGGGTGTTGCGCTACTTGTGCAGTACGTCGGGCATGGGGCTAGTGCTTGGAGGGCGAGACCGAGTTGTACTTACTGGACACTCAGACGCTTCTTGGGCGGACGACCAGGCTACTCAGCGGTCGTCTCAGGGTTACACCTTCAGCCTTGGCTCCGGCTCAGTTTCTTGGCGTTCTACACGCTCTTCTTCTGTTCTCGGCTCCAGTTGTGAGGCTGAGATCTACGTCACAGCCATGGCTGCCCAGGAGCTACGCTGGCTGACCTACCTGCTGACCGACTTGGGTGAGCGGCCTCGTTCTCCTCCAGTGCTGTACGTTGACAACCAGGCTGCCATTGCCTTGTGTGAGGAGCACAGACTGGAGCACAGAACGAAGCACATCGCCCTGCGGTACTTCCTTGCTCGAGAGCTGCAGCAGCGCGGTCAGCTTTGTCTGCGTTACGTGGCCACTGAGGCCAACCTTGCTGATGTGTTCACCAAGGCGCTTCCGCCTTGTGACCATCAGCGCTTCTGCACTCTGCTAGGCCTTGTGCCTACTGGACCTCACTTACTTACTTCTTGACCCTGCTTGTACTGTGATCACTATATATATATCTACCTGCATGTTTACTCTTGCTAGGTTGTGATCACTGTATCCCATGCTCTGTTATAAACCTGCATGTGAACTGGTCTTGTGACCACTTGCTTGTGCTCGGAATTTGTGTGGTATCCTTGAGATCCACCCTGAGCTTGTTATTGTTTTGCTTTGCCTTGACTGGTCTTGTGACCCCTAGGTCTACCCCACTTTGCCTATGGGGGTGTGTCAAACATTATATATGTTGTGGTTGTTTAGGCTACAGTGGGTTAGCCTATAGGGGGTACACAATTCTAGGGTTAGGTACTTGTACTGATTTCACTGTTAGTTCAATCATTCCAGTCTCTTCTTGTGACATGACTCAGCAAAAAGAAACTGACTGTCCACGTACACACCTACAGAATGCGCAATTCTCTTTAGTATACGAACTCTTACAAACGCAAAACGTACATGCACGCATTCGATATATTTAACTATCACTATTATAGCAAGCATCTTATGGACACTCAGGAAAAACAGATTTAGCCTGATTATTAAAAAACTGGGATGAAATCATCTATTCATACAGTTTATATCGAGCCTTGAATGCATGGTGTATTATATCAATAAAAAATTTTAAATCTTATGCAACTTTTACTATCTGTCATTTGCAAAAATTAATATTGTTCAGCTCATATTAAAAACATTGCTACTTGGTCTTCTCCCATTTCTGAAGTATATTTCTGGTAGGTTAAAATAACTTAAAAAAAATATTACTAGGATAGCTTTGCGGTTTGACATTGTGTGTATTTTTTTGTGGCGTTTAACTCTATGATAAATGTTTAATGTTTGTTGGTTTTTTTTACGGATTACAATTTTGCATATCGAGGTTTGACTGTCGCGGTTGTAAACGCCGCTATTATAAAGAGAATTGCGCATTCTGTGGGTGTGTACGCGGACAGTCAGTTTCTTTTTGCTGAGTCAAATCTGACGTGGAACGTGTAGTCAGTTTCTTGTACGGTGTACAGTTTGGTTGGAACTTGAAGTTACCAGCCAGGATTTCCGGATGCACTGTTCATTACCATCCAGGCAATAATGCTGACCATCTCGGCAATCCTGGTTACCATGGTGGCGATGAGAAGACATCTCTGTTACGATTTTGTCACGTAGCTTACCTCGCGTGCAATCGAGCTCCAAGAGTGTTACCGCTAAGATAAATGCCCGGGTAGGTTGCTGCCAGTTGTTCACCTCTCGATTAGAGAGTTCAGGTCAGGTGGTGCAGTGCACGCCAGCAAAAGCCAGGAAATAAAAAATTCCCAGCGCACTTCTTCCTCACGCGACATATGGCCGTTCTGGGTGGCTTTCATCCGCAACAACAGCTGCCAATTCGCTATGCATGTTTCCTTCCTGGGAGTGGCTGTGAAGCCACTCAGTGATAGGTGTACGATGAAGCGCTCAGTCTGTTCGAGCCGAATGACGATATGTGAAGCACGCTTTTGCTTACTGCGACTCGTAGACATCGATGGTAACAATTCCGCTGCTCCGTTCTTCTCGGTAGCTAGCCGTAGTAGTAGGCCAGGTGATACAGAAAAGAAAAGAAAAAAATAATAACTACTTTTGCGGCCGCCGGGTGCGAGTATGAGAGTTTCTCGAGAGGTGGCGGCGGTGGCGGTGTGGATGGGACTTGCGGGCGTGCTGGCGGGGCTGGTGGCGTGGAGGGTGCAGAAGGGCTTCGACGACAATCGCAAGGCGGAGCTCGACACCTGGTGCGCCGGTCGCACGCGCTCGCTGCAGCAGCAGTTCATGCAGACCGCAGATCACGTGCAGGTACTACTAGACGTGACGACACGTGCAGGTAGACGCGACGACACGTGGTAGTGGTATCATTAGCCGAGACCGACGCCATAACAAACGGCGGATTAACTACATTTTCACATCGAATCATGAAGATTTTTTAGGCGCCTCAAGAATCATGAAGATGGTTGCCGTCGACTATACGAGAGCGCGTGAAAAACGACATTTAAATCCCGTGTTCCGGACAGCCGACCTCGCGCCAGAACCCACGGGTCACTTTACTTCGCATGTACCGGCTAGGGTTTTCAGAATCAGTGTACTTGGTGCGAGGAGCCTGTAGTTGTGAAAAAAGAAAGAAAGAGAAAAAATCTTTGCAGTGCGAGGCCGTGCGTGGTGTGGTCACACGTGGTACGTGCGTGGATGACTCGCGGGGCACAGCTGCATGCATCATTCTGCCGTCCGTAGTTGAGCTTGCAGCAACAGCTGTGGCACATGCATTTGCAGCAATGCAATTCACAGCAAATGCACGCACAGCACATGCAATTCACAGCAAATGCACGCACAGCAGATGCAATTCACAGCACATGCACTCACAGCGATAGCTTCACCGCGTAACGCACGCATGCCCATGGCTGCACGCTCCAACCACTCATTCCATGCATGAATGGCACTGGAAGCACGCCAGTAATGCCGCACCACACCCACCCCCACCCAGTACCGCTGCCGCTCCTCCCCTCTTCCCACACCCGTCTCCCCATCTATCTCCCCTCAGCCGCCCTCCCCCACCCATCTCCGCCCTCCCATATTCCCCCCACCCATCTCCCCTCACCCATCTTTCCCCCACCTATGTCCCCCACCCGTCTTCCCGTCAGCTATCCCCCCCCACTCGTTTATCACCCACAACTCATCTTCTGCCATCTTATCTTCCCCGCCCTTTCCCCCCACCTATTCTCCCCCCACCCATCATTTACGTGCCCATCTCCACCACCCATCTTTCCGGCCATCCGTCGTTCATCAAACCGCTGCCACTGCCCCATGATCCACCCTACCTCATGAACCCACCCTCACGGTCCATGCACATGCACATGCACATGCACCTCTGCTCCCGCATGTCCGCATCAGGCACTGGCAGGGCTGGCGTCCGTGTTCGGGGGGGTGCGAGAGAACCCATGGGGAGTGGGCGAGTGCATGAGCCCTGAGATGTTCGTGCAGTACGTGCATGCCACTATCACCTCACGGCCCTGGGTGCATGCTGTGATCTACCTCCTCCCCCTCAACCACACAGACAGGTTAGTGCTGCCCTTCTCCCTCCTTTATCTCCAGCCTCCCTTACTGATATTCTTACATCTCTTTTTATCCACCTCTCGTGCATGCACTCACTCTCCTCTTCTCTTCCCAACACACACACACACCCACGCACGCACGCACGCACGCACGCACGCACGCACGCATGCACGCACGCACGCACGCACGCACGCACGCACGCACGCACGCACGCACGCACGCACACACACACTCTCAATCCATTCTGCTGCTCGAGTGTGAGCTCGAACCCCATCGAAGCCAAGTATCCATGTCATTTGCATGTGCTGCCGCCCTTGTGTGCCGTCCTTCCGTGCCGCCCGTGTGTGCCGTGCCATGATGTGCTGCAGGGCGGCGTACGAGCGGCAGATGCGGTGCCGCCTGGTGGACATGCTGGACCGCCCGCGCCCCCCTGCCGACTGGTACATGGTGTTCCGCTACTGGTACAACGAGGTCCCCCTCGCCACGCTGCTTGCCGCCACGCCCTGCAAGGACGCGCGCACCAACCCCTCGTACGGCCCGCAGCTGGGCGGCATGGTGGAGAGGGCGGACCGGTGGCTCACCACGCCCTACGTGCTCGATAATGGCAACGCTGGCATCGGTGGGTGGGTGCCTGGCCTGGGTGGCACTGGAATGGGTGGGTGGGGCCACGGGGAGAGCAGCGTGGGTGGGTGGGGGGCATGAATGGACATGTTGTTGCACGCCATTGCCCTCGCCTTTCCATCACCACCTGCTTCCTCCCTTCCCTCCACCGTTCGCTGCGCTATGTGCAATCTCGCCACCCCGTGCGCCACCAATGCAGGCATGGCATTCCCGCTGTTCCGAGCGGGCGTGTCCCTGGCGTCGCCATTGGCAGAGCGGCAGGCTGCGTTCATCGGAGCCATGGCGGCGTCGGTGGACTTCAAGCGCCTCGCCAGCGCCATCATCCTCGACGTGCTGCAGGGTGAGTGCTGCAGGGTGAGTGCTGCAGGGTTAGTCTCGACGCGCTGCAGGGTTAGTCTCAACGTGGTGCAGGGTTAGTCTCAACGTGGTGCAGGGTTAGTCTCAACGTAGTGCAGGGTGAGTCTCAACGTGGTGCAGGGTTAGTCTCAACGTGGTGCAGGGTTAGTCTCAACGTGGTGCAGGGTTAGTCTCAACGTGGTGCAGGGTTAGTCTCAACGTGGTGCAGGGTTAGTCTCAACGTGGTGCAGGGTTAGTCTCAACGTGGTGCAGGGTTAGTCTCAACGTGGTGCAGGGTTAGTGTCATTCTGGTGCAGGGTTAGTCTCAACGTGGTGCAGGGTTAGTCTCAACGTGGTGCAGGGTTAGTCTCAACGTGGTGCAGGGTTAGTCTCAACGTGGTGCAGGGTGAGTCTCGACACGCTGCAGGGTGAGTGTCGCGCTGCAGGGTGTGTGTCGTGCTGCAGGGTGAGTGTCGCGCTGCAGGGTGAGTGTCGTGCTGCAGGGTGAGTGTCGTGCTGCAGGGTGAGTGTCGTGCTGCAGGGTGAGTGTCGCGCTGCAGGGTGAGTGTCGAGCTGCAGGGTGAGTGTCGCGCTGCAGGGTGAGTGTCGTGCTGCAGGGTGAGTGTCGTGCTGCAGGGTGAGTGTCGTGCTGCAGGGTGTGTGTCGTGCTGCAAGGTGAGAGTCGCGCTGCAGGGTGAGTGTCGCGCTGCAGGGTGAGTGTCGTGCTGCAGGGTGAGTGTCGTGCTGCAGGGTGAGTGTCGCGCTGCAGGGTGAGTGTCGAGCTGCAAGGTGAGTGTCGCGCTGCAGGGTGAGTGTCGTGCTGCAGGGTGAGTGTCGTGCTGCAGGGTGTGTGTCGTGCTGCAAGGTGAGTGTCGCGCTGCAGGGTGAGAGTCGCGCTGCAGGGTGAGTGTCGTGCTGCAGGGTGAGTGTCGTGCTGCAAGGTGAGTGTCGCGCTGCAGGGTGAGTGTCGTGCTGCAGGGTGAGTGTCGCGCTGCAGGGTGAGTGTCGCGCTGCAGGGTGAGTGTCAAGCTGCAGGGTGAGTGTCGCGCTGCAGGGTGAGTGTCGTGCTGCAGGGTGTGTGCGCTGCACACGCTGTGTTGCGCCATGCAGTGCTGCAGGGTCAGTGGCCACGCTGTGGGCTGGGAGGAGTATTGACCCTCAAGTGAAGTTCCTTTGTGTGCTGCTGGAATACACCCAGTGCATTCGCCGGCATTGCTCTGGTGCTGGGCCGGTCTGACCACCAGTGCTGCTGGACTTCGTTTCTGTGGAACGGATGGATGCACGGAATTCCAGACTTTGTAGGTTCTACCCCCCCTTCACCCCTCCCCCCCTCCGCCCTCTGTGCACGCCCATGCCTCACCAGACGTGAACTACACGCTCGAGATCTACGATGTCACTGACACCTTCGCCTCGCCCCCATCGGGCCCGCGCCTGCTGTATGGCATGGGGGACCTGCCACAGGGCGACCCCCAGCAGGTGTCCAAGGTCATTCCGCCCTCCACAGACGCCATGCTGCAGCCGCACAGACACAAGGCCGTGCACCCCATCAACCTCACCGACTCATCTCGCTCCTTCCAAGTTTGGTGCCGGTAACCCTCTCCGTTTCCCCTTGCCTCATACCCGTCCCCTCCTGTTGTCTCCCCTCATCTCCTCTGTATTTTCTGATTTGTATCCTCTTTTTCCCTCCTCGCACCTTTCCCTCGTCCTCTCCCCAGCGTTGGTAGGTAATGGGTCTCTTCACTAGTTAGTTGTGCTCCATTGCGGTTCTGGCTCTTATTCACCCTTTTCTCAACTGACTAGGTTGACTTGCCTCTTTGCGGTTTTGCCTCTTTCGCTATGGATACCTATCATGCCAACAGATATGACAGTCCGTCATACGGCTATTTACTCGTATATACCTTTTTTTTGCCACTTTCCTCTAAAAGAAGAACAAGGAAAAAAAAAAAAAAACAAAACAAAAAAACCGTTTCTTACCCTCTCGTTTTCTCGTTCCTTCTTCCCCCAACCCTCCCCTCCCTTCTGCCCTCCTTCCCCCCACGGCGTTTCTCTCCATCCATCTCCCCCTCGTCCTCTCCCCGCTCAGATTTGCAGGGTCAGACGAAGCACACAGCTGGGTGGCGATTGTGCTGGGCATGGTCATAGTGGTGGTGGCGGCGCTGCTGGCAGGCATTGCAGTGAGCGTGGTGCGCAACACGCGCGAGGCGAGGAGGAAGACAGCGGTGGTGGAGGGCTTTAAGGAGAGCACGCAGCGCAAGGAGCGCAACAAGAGCGCCTTCATCGCCAGCACGGCGCATGAGCTGCGCACGCCCATCATCGGCATGAAAGGTATGCTCGCATGGGGGTGGGCTTCTGGACGGATAGCAGGCAGGCATTACGGTCAAAGGGTCCCCGGTGGGCTGTCTAGGGGCTGAGTAAGGCGAGGGTTGGCCCGACAAGGCTGAAACGAGCTGCCAAGTTTGAACTGAGCTGGGGTGGGCGGAGTTGGTGTGGGGCAGAGCTGGAGGGTTATGCGTATGGCATGGTGTGGCGGGCGCTTTGGGCGGAGTTCCTAAACTCGATGTGAACTGCCCTGTGTCACCGTGCAAAGCACCGTAGTGCCACCGAGTGGAGAGACTAATTAAACCACAGTGTGTGGAGTTAGGTTGTAGGAACTGTGAAACGTGTGTGGAGAAGCAAACAAAGCAAAAGCAATGCATAATAATGTGTGGGGGAAACCAAACCAATGCATAAACAATCGAGCCGCGTGCGCATTCGCTCTAACTGAGCTGCCATCAAGCCTCGGCTTGCCGTGGGCGTTTTTGCTGGCACCTGTGACAGCGTGCCTGTCAAAAAGTAGCAAAACACCAGACAGTGTGCATGTTTCTCCGTGGTGCTTGGTGCTTGGTGTTTGCTGCACGGCAGGCATGCTAGAGCAGCTGCGGGAGGGGCACATGGAGCGCGAGATGAAGGAGGACGTGTGGACGGCGGTGGAGGAGGCAGAGCGCGTGCTGGCGCTGATCAACACGGTGCTCGACATCTCCAAGGCCGAGGCCGGCTGCATGCAGCTGGAGCGACTGCCCTTTGCCCCACGTGGGTGGCTGCAGGCTGCACTGCAGCAGCACGAAGCAAGAGCTGCTGAGGCTGGGCTGCAGTGTGAGTGTGAGACCCTTGGGGCAAGCTGCACACATGCGTGAATGCGTGCATGCATGCATGCAATCATGAACAATGCCCATGCTCACGTGTCGGTGCTGACAAGCACGCACGTCCACCCGCGTGCATTCGGCATGCATGTCAACGCACGCGCCCACCCTCTGTTTCCTGCTCTGTCCCCTCTTCCTACCATACCATGTGCCCAACTCCTGTTCTGTTCCTGTATCTGCTGCTGTGCGCCACGCACCAGGCGCATCATAAGAGGCATTCGCACGGCGGTAGTGGCTTGAGTCTCCACATATCCAAACAGCTGGTGCGTGCCTTTCTTGCTCCTCTGGTGCATGCCTTGCTTGCCTTTCTGGTACATGCTTGGCTTACATGCTCGTTTGTAAAGGACAAGGGAAGCAATCCCATGTCATTTACCCTTATCTGCATACAGAAGCAGAGTATGTTTGGATTGTGTTGCAGAGATAAAATAGTAATTACACTGAATCGCATGTGTAGATTGGATTGCAGGGTGGTGGTGGAAAAGGAATACAAGAAGACCCTAAAGAACTCTGGGGAAAAGCCGCAATTCCAGATACACTCCGCTTCAAGGGTTTCGAAAGTATATTCCAACAAAAAGCCCTATCATGCCAACAAACTGGAGGCGACCATTATCTAGCAGGGTTGGCAGTGGTTTCAATTCAACTGCACCACCCACCTCTCATCCCACTGCCTGCAGGTATCGCTGATGGGCGGCAGCATGGGTCTGCTCAGCACGCCGGGCCGCGGCACCACCCTGCACGCCGCTCTCCCCATCGCTGCTCTGCCCGCCGCCGCCGCTGCTGCTGCTGCTGCTGCCCGTGCTGCTGCTGCTGCTGCTGCTGCTGCTGCTGCTGCTGCTGCTGCTGCTGCTGCTGCTGCTGCTGCTGCTGCTGCTGCTGCTGCTGCTGCTGCCCGTGCTGCCAGCACGAGCTCACGAGCTGACAGTGCTGCCATTGCTGATCCCTTCACAGCCTGCAGCACCAGCAGGCCGGTGGAGAGCTGCAATCAGGTGGCAGGACGGAGGAAAAGCGAGGGAGTATTGCGCAGAGAGAGTGGGAGGGAGGTGTTGGAGGCGGATTTGGAGGCTGGCGGACTCACAAGGCACACACGGGCGATAGCAGTGCGGGGAGCGGGGGAGGTACAGGCGGATGGGATGGGAGCGAAGTGGATGAGTGGCGTGGGGCATTGTGCCAAGGAGGCTCTCAAGGAGATGCTTCACGGCATGGCAATCCTGGTGAGATGCTTGACGGCATGGCAATCCTGGTGAGATGCTTGACGGCATGGCAATCCTGGTGAGATGCTACACGGCATGGCAATCCTGGTGAGATGCTTGACGGCATGGCAATCCTGGTGAGATGCTTCACGGCATGGCAATCCTGGTGAGATGCTACACGGCATGGCAATCCTGGTGAGATGCTTCACAACATGGCAATCCTGGTGAGATGCTACACGGCATGGCAATCCTGGTGAGATGCTTCACAACATGGCAATCCTGGTGAGATGCTACACGGCATGGCAATCCTGGTGAGATGCTTCACGGCATGGCAATCCTGGTGAGATGCTTCACGGCATGGCAATCCTGGTGAGATGCTACACGGCATGGCAATCCTGGTGAGATGCTTCACAACATGGCAATCCTGGTGAGATGCTTCACGGCATGGCAATCCTGGTGAGATGCTTCACAACATGGCAATCCTGGTGAGATGCTACACGGCATGGCAATCCTGGTGAGATGCTTCACGGCATGGCAATCCTGGTGAGATGCTTCACGGCATGGCAATCCTGGTGAGATGCTACACGGCATGGCAATCCTGGTGAGATGCTTCACAACATGGCAATCCTGGTGAGATGCTTCACGGCATGGCAATCCTGGTGAGATGCTACACGGCATGGCAAGCAAGGGCCATGAATAAGCAGCTGGCTTTGCATGTGAGAACCTTTCTTTCTCCACCATCCCTCCATCCTCTTCCGTTTCCCAAACCCCCCGTGCATGCACCCCTCCCCACTGCCTTGCCATGGTGGCGCACAGCGATGTGACAAACCGCATGCAGTTTCTCTGCATCTATGCGCCACGTTCATCCACGTGCTGCACCACACAGTGCTGCACCACACCGTGCTGCACCACACCGTGCTGCACCACACCGTGCTGCACCACACCCCGTGCTGCGCCTCATGCTTTGCTCTCTGCCCCTCTTACTTTCCTCTCCACCCTGTATTCCCCTCGCTCTCCCTCTCTGGAATCACTCTGGTGGGGGGAGGTAAAGTGGTAACCACATGCCATCTCCATCCGTTCTCACCCCCTCTCCCTCCCTCTCCCCCTCCTACCCCCTCACTGTCACGTGCCTGGCTGCACCAGCTGCATCTACCGTCCGTCCGTACTCATCCCCTCCGCTCCCCCTTTTGTAACTCCCTGCACAGGTTCTGCGCGACAACGCCATTTACCGTTCTCATCCCCTCCGCACCCCTCCTATACCCCCTGCATGCTTCGCAGGTGGTGGACGACAATGCCATCAACCGGCGGGTGGCGGCGAGCACGCTGGCGCGGTACGGGGCGGAGGTGGCGCTGGCAGAGTCGGGCGAGGCAGCGCTGCGCCTGCTGCAGGCGCGCCACTCCTTCCGCCTCGTGCTCATGGACCTCCTCATGCCCGGCCTTGATGGCTTTCAGACCACCGCTCGCCTGCGCGCCCTCGAGGCTGCTGCTCAGAGGGCCTGGGAAGAGCAAGTAGAACAGGGGGTGCAGGCATGCCAGTGGTGGAGGATAGTGGGGCGCAGGGCGGAGAAGGGAGCTGGCGGCGGCCGCAGCGCGTTCATGTGGTGGCCATGTCAGCAGATGTGGACAGCACTGTTGCTGCCTGTGCCACAGAGGCTGGCATGGATGGTGCTGTGCAAAAGCCACTGAATGAGAGAGTGCTGCTCCAGGTGCTCTCGATGCTGTTTGTTAAGAGACGAAGGCACAGATCCCACTCGATGTAGCATTACAATATGTGGCTTGTGTTTTGATTTGCCTTGTGAGCTGGTGTTGAGTTGTACAATAGAGTTGCGCGGAAAACAAATATCGAAGCTGTGACTGACAACACAATGAAGGCAAGAGACAATACAGTGACAACCTTAGCTAGGTGGGAACCTTGGGAACACGAGGTCGGGTGCAGGTTTGGAAAAGGGAAAGCCAAGGTGATGCGAGGTAGCCTCGGGATCTTGGATGTCGGCCGAACGTTCGAAGTCCGAAAGTGCGGGGTTGTACGCGAAGCAGTTTCAAGCGTGTCTCGCTGCTTCTTCCGCGATTGCACCACAGTGACACCGCTCACAGCCCCTATCCCTGTCACTCTGGCCGACCCCTCTGGTCTCCCAGTTGTTGCTTGTAGCTCCACTGTTCTCCCGTGTCCCGCAGCCCCCTTCGGTTCCCTCACAGGCTTCCACCTCCCCTCGTTCACTAGGAGCTTATTGGCTACAGCTGTCTTACAGGACCAGTTTGTCACTGTTACCCAGCCTGAAGGAGAGCTCGTGGCGACTTGTACAGACTCTCGCACTGGCAAGCATCTCGCCACGTTCACTCGGAGGCCCGGGTCTGGTCTATACACACTGACCACTGAGACTGCACAGGTGGTTGAGTCAGGTCAGGTAGCTACGTCGGTTGAGGTAGCTGCGTCTTGTTCGTGTCGTCTCCTCACGCACCAGACTCTCCTCTGGCACCACCGTCTTGGTCACCCCCACTTGCCACGCCTGCGTGGCACGCAACCCCGTCTCCTTGTGTCTGGCCTTCCCAGGACCCTGCCCCCGCTCCCGAGGTCGCTTGCGCCGCCGTGCCTTCCCTGCGTCGAGGAGCGGCAGCGCGCCGCTCCTCACTCCTCCTCGTTTCCTCCGACCACAGCCCCTCTGCAGACCCTCCACATGGATGTGTTAGGTCTAGCCCGCGTCACTGGACTGGGCGGAAGGCGCTACATTTTGCTGGTTGTTGACGACTACACGTGCTACACCACGGTCTACCCCTTGCAGAGCAAGGCGGATGCTCGTAGTGTGTTGATCCATTGGATCCGTGCTGTTCGTCGCCAGCTCAGCGCTCGGTTCCGGCAAGACCGGTCCTGCGGCTGCACTCTGACCGAGGTGGTGAGTTTTGCTCCCGCCTCCTCGAGGACTTCTGTAGTGCTGAGGGTAACCGCCAGTCTTTCACGCTTCCGGCCTCTTTGCAACAGAATGGGATTGCTGAGCGTCGCATTGGCTTGGTCATGGAGGTTGCTCGCACCTCCATGATCCATGCGGCTACTCCCCTTTCTGTGGCCGTTTGCGGTCCGATACGCCGCTGAGTAGCTCAAACTCTGGCCCCGTGTCTCCCATCCGAAGACCTCCCCAACTCTACGGTGGACGGGAAAGGTTGGTGATGCGTTGGTGTTTCGAGTCTGAGGTTCCCTTGCCCTTGTCCGCAATCTTCCCACGAACAAGTTCTCTCCTCGCACTCTTCGCTGCGTCTTCCTCGGCTTCCCCACTGACGCCTTCCCCTGGTAGTTTTACCACCCAGGCTCTCGTCGTGTCCTCTCCTCCAACGACGTCACCTTTGATGAGTCTGTCTGCTTCTACCATCTCCACCCCCACCGCAGTTACCCCGTGCCCCTTCCGCCTCTCGTCTTGGTACCCGACCCCCCCCCCCCGGTAGCCCCCCTCCTCCCACAGGGTCCTTCTCCCTCAGGTGTGTCTTTGGTAGACCCAACCCCCTTGGTTGAGCCCTTGGAGGTCTCGTCTGACACCTTTGGCCCGGCTGAGGGGGATGACCCGACCGCTGCCGACACTGTGGCCCCACACCGCTCAGCGCGCTTGGCGGTCCCTCTTGGGTTTCCACCTCAGCCGTCTTTACCGCCTCTGCAGCCAGTTGCTGTGGACTCTGGTACTGTTGGAGGTGGTGACACTGGGGGTGCAGACTCTGGGGGTGCTGGTTCTGGGGGTGCTGAGTGTCCTACAGGTACAAGAGGAGCTGGAGGTGCTGTAGTTGGAGCTGTTGGAGGTGCTAGTGCTGGTGATACTGGAGTTGGAGGTACTGGAGGTCCTGGTGCTAGAGACGCTAGTACTGGCGGTACTGGTACACGTCGGCCGAAGACCCTCTCGCCGGAGTGGCTTCGCGAGTGGGCTAGAGGTGCTGGAGCTGGAGGTACTAGAGGCTCTGGAGCTGGTGGTACTGGAAGTACTGGAGGTGCTAGAGCTGGAGGTGCTGGAGGTGTTGGAGGTGATGGAGCTGCTGACAGTACGAGTACTTCACCACCCCGACCGTTTTTCTACCCGCATACGCAGTTGCTCCTACCACCACCTGGCTTGGCACTTCGTCAGGTTCTTAGTCTTCTATCTTTCCATTGGCCTTACTCCGCCTCTCCTGTGTCCTCCGCCTGACCATTCGCAGCCGCAGTTATTGCCTGGCTCTCCACTGCCTGCTCCTTCTCCCTTCCCTGCTCAGACAGGCTCTTTGGCAGAGCGTCGTGAGCCTGAGTCTCGTCCTGCCTCCCCTGTTTGCACTGTCATTCGTGCTCGTCGTCCTCGTCCTCCACCTGTCCTCGGCACGCACACTATGAGACTTCGCCCTTCCTCTGTTCCATAGCGTGTTGCTCGGCCGTCTCCTCCGACGTCCTCGCTTCTTGACATTCTTGACCCTGAGTCCGAAATTGCTTGTCACTCGTCTCCTCGCTACTGTTGTACTGACCCTTCCCTTGAGTCTACTACTGCGTTTGCCCTGGTCACTGAGCTAGTCGATTGCTGCTACCCGTCGTCTCGACTACGTCGCGAGTCTTGTTACTGAGTCTGAGTCTGTCTGTCCTCCGTCCATCGGGGGTGAGCTTGCCCTTGGCTGTGACGTCCTTGAGGACAGGTAGTTTGAGCTTGAGTGTCTCGCCGTCGCTTTACCTCGTTTCGCATCCATGTTGCTTTGCCCTGAGGGAGACCCGGATGCACTTGACATCCCTACCCCGCGCTCTTACGCTGAGGCGATCACGGGTGAGTACTCCTCTGAGTGGCAGACAACAATGGAGTTAGAGATGGCTTCCTGGAAGTCCACAAGCACCTATGTCAACGAGGTTCCTCCTCCTGGGGCGAACATAAGCGATGGCATGTGGATTTTCAGGGTGAAGCGGCCGTCGGGTTCTCCGCCTGTCTTCAAGGCACGTTACGTTGCTCGAGGCTTCTTCCAAACATTCTCCCCCACCCTGAAGATGACTACTCTTCGGGTGTTACTGCACGTTGTAGCACAGCGTGACTACAAGCTGCACTCCCTTGACTTCTTCATAACATTTTTGCAAGGAAGCCTTCCCGAGGAGATCTGGTTACACCGCTTTCACTGGGTCGTTTCTTGAGGGTACCCAGTGGAGCCTCCGGCGGCCAGTCTATGGTCTCCGCGTGGTGTCCCGCAAGTGGCACAACACACTGAGGATGATACGTGCGGGTTTGCTCGTTCGATTGCTGACCCTTCGCTAAATATGCGCACCGAACCTGCTCTGCCGCCATTCTACATCCTCGTGTACGTCGACGACTTGGTCTTTGCTACTGCTGAAATGGAGGCACTAATCCTTGTGAAGTCGGAGCTGCAGAAGAGACACACCTGCACTGACCTGGGTGAGCTGCGCAGCTATCTTGGCTTGCAGATCACCCGAGACAGAGCACGGCGCACCATCACCTTGACTCGGTCACACATGGTGCAGCAGGTCCTTCAGCGCTTCGGCTTCCAGTTCTCCTCGCCACAGTCCACTCCTCTGCCTACAGGTCACTCGCTCTCAGCTCCACCTTCGGACGAGTCCATAGAGCTGAGTGGTCAGTATCCAAAGCTTGTGGGCTGCCTCATGTACCTGATAACGTACACTCAACCTGACCTTGTGTACCCTCTCAACATCTTGGCACGCTACGTTGCACCGGAGAGACACTGACTAGAGCACTGGCGGGCTGCTAGGAGGGTGCTGCGTTACTTGTGCAGTACATCGGGCATGGGGCTCATGCTTGGAGGACGGGGTCCAGTTGTACTCACTGGACACTCACATGCTTCTTGGGCAGACGACCAGGCGACTCAGCGGTCGTCACAGGGTTACACGGGGTCTTGGCTCAGGTTCAGCTTCTTGGTGGTCTACCTGTTTGTGTTATTTTCTCAGCTCCAGTTGTGAGGCTGAGATCTACGCGGGGGCCATGGCTGCACAGGAGTTACGCTGGCTGACCTACCTGCTTACCGACTTGGGAGCAGCCTCGTTCTCCTCCTGTTCTGTACGTCGACAACAAGGCCATGATTGCCTTGTGTCAGGAGCAGAGACTGGAGCACAGAACGAAGTAAATTTCTCTTCGTGACTTTCTTGCTCGGGAGCTGTAGCAGCGTGGTCAGCTGCGCCTTGCTTACGTGGCCTCTCGGGCCAACACTGCTGATGTCTTCACCAAGGCCCTAGGGTCTGGTGATCATCAGCGTTTCTGCACTGCTCTAGGCCTTGTGCCTACTCTGCCTCACCTGCTGGTTGCTTGACCTTGCTTGTACTGTGATCTATATATATACATGCATGCTTGCTCTTTCTTGGTTGTGATCAATGTACTACATGTGCCTCTTATAACACTGCATGTGAACTGGCCTTGTGGCCGCGTGCTTGTGCTAGGAGTGTGTGGTGTCCTTGAGATCCATCCTGAGCTTTGCTTTGCTTCTTCTCTTGACTCGTCTTGTGACCATTTGCTTGTCTTGGTCGTTTAGCTGCATCTCACTCAGGCTATGGGGTTGTGTCAAAGTGATATTTCATATTCCTTTAGTTTAGCCTGTAATGAGTTACCCCTTAGGGGGTACAACAATTATCTCGACACTTCACTTGTACCCCACCTTTGACCTAGTTGACCATCATTCCTACCTATCTTAACAACTACAACACCGCTGGCCGCACCCTAAGGCTTCCGCGCCTTCGCCGACGGATAACCCCCCGCCTCCGCCAGGAACTTGGAAGATTGCACGCGCGCCGACCTTCATCGCCTCGGCCCCTCTCGTTACCTCGTACATGCGACAATGCCACCAGATTATACTGTCATTTCTGTTTGTCTGTGTCCCCCCCCCCGTTCAGATCGCTCCCACCTTCTCTGACACGCCTGCTATAGCTCACGCCGTTACTCGGGTGGGTGCTTCACCTCCCAGCAGCCTTTTGCGAGTCTGCACGCTCATCGTACTGCATTGTTAACATCTCAATGTCGCCTTCCTTTTACTTTTGGCAGCGGTGGCAACTTCAAGCGAGCTTCCGCTACCTCACCCTCGCAATTTCTCAAATAGGTGCTTCCGCACACCCTCCTGCCGCTATCAACTGGCTATCACTTTACTGTCTTGCTTAGTCGCAGGGTCCTCCTTCCTGTTTCTTTGTAATGATGATTTCGCACTCGCTTTGATGCTCCCCATCTTGCCTCAATACCCTTTCATATACGCATGGCCTTCGGACCAGGCCTGGCGAAGTTCCTGGGACCAGAACTTTGGATCCTAAGCTGCTCGAAGTTTGGCCCTGATTTTCGCAAAGGTGGCCGTTTTTTGGCCCTTAACGCTCACGGGCGCATGACAATTTCAAAACTTGAGATCCAGGCTTCCTAGAAAAATGTCACAAAGGTGGCTCACGTACATTTTTTTTCTGGACATTTTGTTACAATTAGGGCTCACGTACATTTAGACAGATGAGTTGTTAGCATCCTCCTTCCCGCTGCTAACAACTTATCTGCATACCTATAGCAAGGGGGAGAGGGGTGGGGGAGGGGAGGAGGGGGTTCGTAGGGCAAAACATCGTCAGCAAAATTCGTGTGTACAATTGCAAAAAAACTTCAAATGCAGTTCGTTCTCATGTTGCAGTGCTAGTGTGAACTGGTGGGGCTGAGTCCAGCTTCTCGTTCTTGCTCCGATCACGACAATTCTTGGTTCGTCGGAAAGCTCTCAAGTAGAGCAGTCCTCTCAAGTATCTGCTCAGGCCAAATAACATTCACACACACTCAGAAAATCCAAACCACACCAAACACAAATTCTTGCACACGCTCACACCACGCATGCAACGCACGAACATATGATGGGAGGCAGACAGACGTGAATGCGAATGATAGCATCACACAACAAACTCCCCCTCTGGCTGCCAACCATCATCCCACATGCCATAGCTCAAGCATGCACCCTCAATGCACACTCATTCCAGCAAGTTTCATGCCCTTCCAATGCTCAGGATCTGCAAGGCGCTTGGTGAGAATGTCAGCTGCCTGCTGCTGGGTCTTCACAATCTCCAGCCGCACCTCCTTGTCCAGGAGCCTCCTTGTCCAATGCCACTTGGGCCTGATGTGCTTTGTCAGGCCATGGAGACAAGCATTCATCGCCAGCTTCACTGCTGACTCATTGTCACAAAACATCACAGTCGGCTCCCTCTGACCAACACCAATCTCCTCCAACAAACGCCTCAGCCACACCACCTCCTTAGCCCCATGATGCAGGGCCATGTACTCAGTCTCACACGAGGACAGCCCCACCTCGTTCTGCTTCTTGCTGCGCCAGCTCACTGCACCACCTCCAAACAGGCACACATAGCCTCCAATGCTGGTGCCATCCGCCTTCACTGAGTTGAAGCTAGTGTCAGTGTAGCAAGTCATGGTCATCTCCCCCTTGCTCAAATCAGCTGCACCCCTCTGCAGCCTCTGTCGCACAGCACTGTACTCCAAGCCCACTGATGCCGTCGCACTCACATAGCAGACCAACCTCTTGGCCGCTTCCAGCTGCTCATGACTGGGACGTGAAACCACACTTGCAAGCCTGGATGTAGCAAAGGCAATGTCAGGCCGCGTGTGGTTAGCCGCATAATTCAGTGTCCCAACCATGGAATGAAACAGCTTCCTGTCACTCTCACCCACCACCTCCTTATCAGCACAGCGCTCCACTGTGAACCCTGAAGGCAATAGGGTTGCTTGCTTTTCTCCATTTTGCAGCCCATACTTCTCAGCCAGCCCCTCACAATACTTCCTCTGGTGCAACCTCAACACTAACTTGTCAAGGTCTCTCTCCACATGCATCCCAAGGTAGTACTTCACATCTCCCATCTTCGAGCACTTGAACTGCATCTCCAGCATCTCCTCCACACGTTCAATCATTGCAGACGACTCGGAGAAAAGTAGGTTGTAGTCTACATACACCAGGTTTATGAGAAACTGCTCCTTCTCTTGCAGCAGGAACAGGCTGTGGTCGCACTCACTCTTCTTGAACCCCCCAGCCAGCAGTGTCTCCTCCAGCTTGTGGTACCATGCACGAGGAGCCTGTTTCAAGCCATAGATGGCTTTCTTCAGCCTGCACACCCTGCCGCTCCCATCATCCAGCCCCTCAGGCTGCAGCATATACAGCTCCTCAAGAATGATCCCATTGAGGAAGGCGGTGGTAATGTCCATCTGCTTCACCCGCCATCCACGGTTTGCAGCCATTGCCAATGACACTCTCAGTGTTGTCCCTTTCCCCACAGGAGCATAGAGCTGAAGTCCTTCCCCTTTGTCTGTTGGAATCCCTTAGCTACAAGCCTTGACTTGTAGCATGTCAGCTTCCCATCGGGTTCGTACTTGTGCCTGAAGATCAGCTTGGAAGAAATGGCCTTCTTCCCAGGAGGCAGCTCACACAGCTCCCACGTCTCATTCTCCAGCAGTGAGTCATACTCCTCCTCTACACTCTGCTTCCACTACACAACATCGGGCCCACTCAAGGCCTCGGTAAGTGTCTTGGGCTCAGGGACGGCTGCCCAGTAGCAGTGCGCTATCTCCTCCTCATCACACTGCTCAGCCACACTCCCAGCCCGTACCACCTTTGGCTTCCCAAAGCTCAGATAGGTCAGCCGGTTAGGAGGGCGCACATCCCTCCTAGGACGGTCAGCCGAACGTGCAGCACCTTGTGGAGCACCTTGCTGCTGCTGCTGTGGCTGCGGCTGCGGCTGCTGCTGCTGCTGCTGCTGCGGCTGCGGCTGCCGCTGCTGCTGCTGCTGCTGCTGCTGCTGTTACTGCACCTCAGGATCTCCCCCCATCCTCAGTCACCCCAGAGATCTCCTCCTCTGAGACAGTGACCTGCACTTGCCTCGAAGGCCGCTGCACCTCATCGGCCTCAATGATCAGCGTTGTTGTAGGAAGCTTCTGCTGCTGCTGCTTCCACTCCTTGTAGTACAAGGACTCAAGGAACTTCACGTCTCTTGACATAGTCAGCTGCTGGCCGATCAAGTCCCATATCAACCAGCCCTTGTGATCCTTAGCAAGCCCCAAATGCCATAAGCTTCCAACTTTCCCCTCTTCTCCTTAGGCACATGAAACACCACCATGCACCCGTAGGCTCTCAGCATGTTCACTGCCAGTGCACTCCCATACCACTTGGTGTAGGGGATCCACTGCTTGTCCCCCACAGTCGCCAGCACCCTGTTCTTCACAAGGGCGACCTGCCGCAGTGCAGTCACCCAAAATGGATCCGGCAGCCCTGCATGACCAAGAAGAGTGCGAGCACCTTCCTGCAGGGTCCGGTTGAACCGCTCACCCACGCTGTTTTGCTAGCTGCGGGTTGTAGGGCACTGTGAGCTGATGCTGAATGCCCTTCTTCTTCAGCACCGCCTCAAACTCATTGCCAATGAACTCTCCCCCGTTGTCAGTGCGGATCACCTTCACCTTGTGTCCGCTCTCCCTTTGAGCTCTCGGCATCCACTCCTTAAGAACAGCCACTGTCACCTCCCCCTTAGTCTTGAGAGGGTACACCCACACCCCACGCGTGTAGTCATCCACGATGGTCAAGAAGTAGCGGCTGCCCGAAAGAGAAAGGGCCCTCGTGGGGCTGACCACATCCATGTGCACAAGCGCGAGTGGTGCCTTGGCTGGTCCCGTGCTGCTGTTGAATTCGGTCTCAAGGCATGTAGGGCAGCTCCCAATCTCCTTTGCTGCCCCCTTCACCTCCAACCCCTTCAAGTTCCATCCTTCACCAACTTCTGCAGCATAGGAATGTTGATGTGGCACAACCTCTCGTGCCACGTCTCCCAATCAGCCTCACCACCTTCAGATGAAGCCTTTGCCCATGCGGCTGTTCCCAGCAAGCACCTCACCATGTGGCTGCTCTGGCTGTTGCACCTTCTTGACTGCATCCAGGGTTCCAGTAGTTGGTTTAGCCGCTGCCGCTGCCTTTGTCGTTGCTGCTGGTTTCCCTAACCTCCAAGGTGTTAGAGTTGGAGCATTGAATCCATACATTAGTAATGAGCTCGAAGCTCTTCAAATACATTCAGGATAAGCAAGGAGTAGATCAAGGAGTAAATGGGGAGGGGAATCGAGGACAATCTCTAGGGATTGGGGGTAATCCCAAGGCAATCTCCAATTGGTGGGTTGGAGATTGCTTGGAGATTACATTTGGGTTTGGTTGGGATGTGGGTGTACACCCAACCAAACACAATGTGCAAACTACACTACGCTAGGATATAGAAAGTACAAAATACAAAGTGTGAGATTGAGGGCTAACACTAACACAAGGACCTTTTCTTTCCCATGCCCATGCCTCCACCAGACATGAACTACACACTCGAAATCTATGATGTCACTGACACCTTCGTATCACCCCCATCAGGCCCGCGCCTGATGTATGGGGTGGGAGAGTTGCCGCAAGGCGACCCACAGCAAGTGTCGAAGGTTATTCCGCCCTCCACAGACGCCATGCTGCAGCCGCACAGACACAAGGCCGTGCACCAGATCAACCTCACCGACCCCTCTCGCTCCTTCCAAGCCTGGTGCCAGTAATCCTCTCCCTTCCCCTTGCCTCATACCCCCTCTCCTGTCGTCCCCTTCCCTTGTCTCCTCTCATCCGCTCTGTTTTGTCCCCTCGCATCCTCTTGTTCCGTCCTCACTCACCTTCCCGTTTTGCTTTCCCCAGCGTTGTTAGGTAATGGGTCACTAGTTGTGTCTCATTGCGATTTTGACTTCCTCGACTAACAAGCTTGGTTCTCCACATTGCCCTCAAAAGAACTGTTTTAATTAAAATAGCTACCAACCATGCCAACAAATATGACAGTCCTTCATGCAGCTACGTAACATCATTTACCTACGAATCTTACAGTTCCTAAGCTCTTCCCTCTCTCACCCTCTCGTTCACTCCTTGTGCCTCTCGCTTCGTTCCTCCCCATCTCGTCCGTCGCCCCCCTTACTCAGCTATGCAGGATCAGACGAAGCACACAGCTGGGTGGCAGTTGTGCTGGGCGTGGTCATCGTGGTGGTGGTGGCGCTGCTGGCGGGCGTTGCAGTGAGCGTGGTGTGCAACACGCGGAGGGCGAGGAGCAAGACAGCAGTGCTGGAGGGGTTGAAGGAGAGCACGCAGCGCAAGGAGCACAACAAGCGCGCCTTCATCGCTAGCACCGCGCATGAGCTGCGCACTCCCATCATCGGGATGAAGGGTATGCTCACACGGGGGGTGTTGCTTCTGGAGCTGAATGGTTATGCGTGTGGTGTGGTGTTGGTGGGCGGTATGGGTAGGGTTTTCACACTTCATATGAAGTGTGACAGCATGCAAAGCACCGTAAGGCCACGGAGTAGAGAGAGTAATTAAAATAGGCACAGTGGTGTGCAGCCATGGCGGCTAAACTGGTTTGATACATTCTCGTTTTAGTGTGTGGGAAAACCAATACCAATGATTAGAGAAATGTCCACATGCATGTCTAGTCGAGCTGCCATCGAGCCGTGCATGGCTCGCCGTGTCTGAGGCGTTTCCACTGGCACCTGTGACAGCGTGGCTGGCTGTCACAGAGAAGCAAAGTATCGATTAACATGCAAGGATGTTTCTTGCTGCTTGGTGCTTCTTGCTTGCTGCGTGCTGCTTGGTGTTTGGTGCTCCCTGCGTGCTGCTTGCTGTGTGCTGCTTGGTGTTTGGTGCTCCCTGCGTACTGCTTGCCGCAGGCATGCTGGAGCAGCTGGTGGAGGGGCACATGGAGCGCGAGATGAGGGAAGACGTGTGCATGGCAGCGGAGGAGGCAGAGATGGTGCTGCTGCTGGTGAACACGGTGCTGGACATATCCAAGGTGGAGGCCGGCTGCATGCAGCTGGAGCGACTGCCCTTCCACCCGCGTGCATGGCTGCTGGCCGCCTTGCAGCAGCATGAAGCAAGAGCTGCTGAGGCCGGGCTGTAATGTGAGTGAGATGAGAGACCCGTGGGTTATGCCTCACACATGCATGCGTGCATAACGCGCATGCTCACGTGCCAATGCTCATGAGCATGCACAGCCACATCCACCTACGTGTATGAAGGCGTGCATATCAATGCTCGCACCTAACCTCCATTTCTTGGCCCGTCCCCACTTCCTACCATGTGTCCATTTCCGGACCTATGCATGTACCTGCTGCTGTGCCCCACATGCAGTCACGTGGCATGTGGATGCGAGTGTGCCCGAGGTGCTGGAGGGGGATTACCTGCGCCTGCAGCAAGTGGTTGACAGCATTGTTGGTGAGCCACGTGGTGCGGTGCATTGTTGGTGAGCCACGTGGTGCAGTGCATTGTTGGTGAGCCACGTGGTGCAGTGCATTGTTGGTGAGCCACGTGGTGCAGTGCATTGTTGGTGAGCCACGTGGTGCAGTGCATTGCTGGTACGCACACAGTGTGTTGATCTTGCCAAAAGGTTCGAGTTCGCTCAAACATTAGAAGGTTTGAGCAAACCTTAGGGTTCGCCGTTGTGTACTCGAACCTCAAACCTTAAAATTCTGAAAAAAAAGTTCGAGCAAACCTGTTCGGTTCGGTTCGAGCAACATGCAAGGTTCGAAAAGGTTCGCACAAACATGTTTGAGTTCAGTTCGTGCTCATATCGCGGCACACTCACGCCAAGTCCGTCCATTGCCTCGAATGTCGTTGCATGTTGTGCCAGTCCATACGAGGACGAGAGGATTTCTCATCCTTCATCCCTTCACGCGCCCGGCCACTGCCAAGGCCCCACGTTCGTCCTCTCGTCCCTGTGCGTGCCGCTCCTTCCAAACAACGCCATCAAGTTCACGGCCAGTGGAGGCGTGTGTGTGCGGCTGCAGTGCCTTCCCCCCGACACCCACATCCCCACCCACCTGCTCTCCCCCAGCTGCCTCCTCGCTGACGCCACCCCCTGCTGCTCCCCTGCGGCTGCTCCCACTGCTGCTTCTACTTCTCCTGCTGCTGCTGCTGCTGCTGGTGGTGGTGGTGCTGCTGCTGCTAATGCCAGCTCTGGTGCAACCGCCACTGCAGTGGTTGCGCCTTGTGATGGTGCAAATGGGGGGTTTGTGGTGCCTTGTTGCGGGGCACGAATGGGGAAGCGGTGGCTTGCACGAGCAGCAGTGCGGCGATTCTGTGAGAGCATGGGGGAGTGGGCGGGGCAGCATCAGGAAGGTGCAGCGGCGCAGGGGTGGTGCAGGCAAGGAGACCCAAAGGGAGAGAGCGGGTGCGGATGCCCTGGCAGCTGCTGAGGCTGGTTGCAAGGCAGGCACGGCGGCAGTGGTGGGCCGTGGGGAAGGTGGTGCGGAGGGCAGTCGGAAGGGCAGTGGGGAGGGCGCATGGGTGGGTGCAGTGAGGCAGTGGTGGGGCAGGGCTGCCATGCCGTGGTGCTGGATGGGGGCTGAGCCTGAGGGGCATTGTGGAGGGCGCTGTGTGGTGCTGGTGGCATGTGAGGACACGGGGTGTGGCATCGCAGAGGAGGAGCAGCGCGACGTGTTTCAGGCGTTCATGCAGGTGAGCCCTGCCCCTCATGCAGGTGAGCCCTACCCCTCATGCGGGTGAGCTGTGTCCCTCATGGCATTCAGGGGTTGGTGTTTAAGGTTTAGGGTTAAGGTTGGGTATGTGTGTTTGGGCATTAAGGCATTCATGCAAGTGAGCTCTGAGTATGTGTGTTGGCAGGCACTAAGACTTGTGGCCTATATCTGTATTTCGGAATGCATCACTTGCTGCTGAAGATGTGAAATTGTGACTGGATTTGTACCTTCGGTCTAGACCTGCTGCCTTTCCTGTGACAATCGCAGCGCCCACCTCCCTGTGTTGCCCTCTGTTTCAACACACCCACCACCAGGCACATCACAAGAGGCATTTGTACGGCGGTAGTGGCTTGAGTCTTCACCAGGCATTTGTACGGCGGCGGCGTGCCTTTGGATCTTTTTAGAGGATAAAGGAGGCACTTTCGTATACTTTACCCTGATTTGCATACAGAAGCAGAGTACGAGAGGATTGTGTTGTTAAAAGAAGTAGCCAACCTCTAGCAGGGTTGGCAGCGGCATCAATCATGATACCCGTCTCTGCACTACATGACTCTCAACTCCCCGACCCCAGTTGTCTCTCAACCACCTGTCTCTGAATTCACTGCCACCAGTCGTCTCTCAAATCATCGTGCCCACCTGTCGCTCATCTTACGGCCCGCAGGTGGCACTGATGGGTGGCAGCATGGGGCCGCTCAGCACGCGAGGCAGTGGCACCATGCTGCATGTTGCTCTGCCCCTCGCTTGCACCTGCCGCTGCCACTGCTGCGGCTGCCCATGCTGCCAGGCTGAGTGCAAGAGCTTCCAGTGCTGCCACTGCTGCTCCCTTCACATCCAACTGCTTGAGGCAGCTTGTGGACAGCCGCAAGCAGGTGGCAGCTGGGGGCAGCAGTAAAGGGGCGAGGCGCGCGGAGAGTGGGGGGGATGTGCGGGCGGCAGGTGTGGAAACCAGTGGACTCACAAGGCACACATGCGCTATAGCAGCGCGGGGAGGAGGGGAGGTGCAGGGGGGTGGGGTGGGAGATAAGTGTGTGAACGGCGTGGGAAAGAGTGTCAAGGAGGCTCTTAAGGAGTTGCTACAGGGCTTGTCAATCCTGGTGAAATGCTAGAAAGGGCCATGATGGTAAGAAAGGGCAGCTGGATGTGCATATGAGGACCTTTTCTTTCTCTACGGTCCTGGATGGGCACCTCTCCCAGCCGCCTTGCCCTGCTGGCGCACAGCGATGTGACAAACTGCATGCAGGTTCTCTCCATCTGCACGCCTCGTCTACCCACGTGCAGCGCTACACCATGTTGCACCACACCGTGCTGCATCTCATACTTTACTCTCACACTCTCCTTCTCACCCCTGTATCCCCCTTGCTCTCACTCCCTGCGCTCACTCGTGCAGGGCGCGACGATGTGGCAACCGCATGCCATCTCCATCCGTCCATTCTCATCCCCTCGCCCTCTCCCCCATCTACCTCTCGCCCTCTCCCCCGTCTACCCCTTGGCCTCTTCCCCTTCCACCCCCTCCCGTGTGTTGCTCACCAGGTGGTGGACGACAGTGCCATCAACCTACGGGTGGCATTCCATCTCCGACCCGCCATTGTCATCCCTCTCCGCCCCCTCTGCATGCCCCTCCCTTAACCAGGTGGTGGAGAGCAATGTGACCAGCCACATGCCATCTCCATCACTCCATTCTCATCCCCTCGCCACCCCCCTGCATGTCCCCCCTGCAAACCCCCTGCACTCGTTAGGTGGTGGACGACAACGCCATCGACCGTTCTCAGCCCCTATGCACCCTTCCCTGTACCCTCTATATCCACCAGGTGGTGGACGACAATCTGATCAACCAGCGGGTGGCGGCGAGCACGCTGGCGCGGTACAGGGCGGAGGTGGCGCTGGCAGAGTCGGGCGAGGCGGCGCTGCGCCTGCTGCAGGCACGCCACTCCTTCCGCCTCGTGCTCATGAACCTCCACATGCCCCGCCTTGATGGCTTTCAGACCACCGCCCGCCTGCGCGCCTTCGAGGCTGCTGCTCAGATGGCCCGGGAAGAACTGGTAAAAGAGGGGGTGCATTGCATACCAGAACTGAGGGAGGGGGTAGAGGGTGGAGAAGGAGGTTGGTGGTGGCAAAAACACATTGATGTGGTAGCCGTGTCAGCAGATGTGGACAGCACTGTCGCCGCCCGTGCTACACAGGTTGGCCCGTGCAGAAGCTACTCAATGAGAGACTGCTGCTGCAGGTGATCTCAACATTGTTTGTTAAGAGATGGAGGTGCACAACCCACTCGATGTGCTAACATTAAAATTCAATCAGTTTATGCGGTTTTCCTTCACCACTGTTAACAAGAAGAAAAAACATACAAACAAAAAACAAAACGAAATAAAACCAACAAACAAACAAATGGCATGCAATTAAATGCTTGTAGGCTGTAGTGGGGTAGCCTCTAACGGGTATGACCCTTTTAGGGTATGTAGTTGTACGCACTCCTACCTAGCAACCTTCATTCGGCTCTTCACTTCTGACTTGGTATCAAACTAGCTACGTTCCTAGCTTAGTTGGTAGGTTATGTCCCGCCCATTAGCAGGCCGCGCCCTGCTCTCCCTACCCTGCCCCGTGCAGACGCACTGCCCCGCGCGATGTCGCGCTGCCGATTCGCTGCCGCCTACGCCGCAGCCCGCGTACCGCCAGCTGCAGCCTACTGGCCCGCTGCCAGGTGAGAACCAGCCCCCCATGTATCTCACTCTCTACTTCCTCACGACCCACCTTCGTGACTCTCTTTATGCCATTCGAGACCACTTCCTCTCTCTAGACCCCACCGAATTCACCCTTGCCTCGTTTGAGACCCGTCTTTTCGAGGCCGAGACTAGTGCTTGCGCTGTAGCTGCATCTCGTAGTACTCCCAGCCCCTCTTTCTTTGAGGGGTGCTCCCCACCCTTCTCGCGCGTTCTGTTGCCTCTGTTGCTAGTGTTGATTTCCTTGGTGCTAAGGAGATCGGTCGGCGCTGCGTCTGCCCCTAGCGGGAGGCGCCGCAGCAGGGGTGTACGTACTAGGGTTGGGGGCGGTGGGGATGGTGGAGGTGGCGGTAGCGGTGGCGGTGGTGGTGGAGGTGGCAGTGACGGGAGTGGCGGACGTGGCGGTGGCGGTGGAGGTAGCAGGGGTGGTGGAGGCAGTGGGGGTGGTGGGGGTGGTGGAGGAGGCTCCGTCGAGGTGGAGCTAGCAGGGGTAGAGGCCTGGGTACAGCTACCTAGGGAGCTGCGTCTGGTGGTGCAGCTCGTGGAGGAGGAGGTTTTGGGGGTTGGACTGCAGTAGCAGCCACGTCAGCAGGACTCTATGTCACCGCAGCAGCTTTGTGAGTGGGTTGCCCAGCGAGCAGGCCCCTAGATTCGTTTTGAGGCACTCTGATTGATCAGTATACACCCCTCCTAGAACTGTGTCTGTCAGAGGTGCCTCAAAATTTTAGTCTGAAAATTCAGACAAGCACAACTTTTTTTTGTTTGAACTGTCAGAGTTACCTTCAAATTTTATGATGATCATGTAGTTTCGTAAAAGCATAGTTTTAATAGCATTGAAGCTGATTACGGCCTACCAACACAACTGTGCGGTGCCGTGCTCGGGAAATTTTGGTTTCCCGCCACGGCTGACATTTCAATTTCAGGCTCCCTGATGGGGAAAAATCTGTCCCACATTTAGTCTGAAGGCACTTCGACCAAAAAATCGTTAGTCTGATTGGTCAGCGTTCCGAAATCGAGGTCTGACCAGTCAGTTTCGGCGCGTCTGCATCAGGCAACGTGTGCCGATTTTGTCAATTTTGGATTTGCGTTTAGGGTTTAGGGTTTAGCGATGCGATCGTTCACCCGATCTGGTTGTTGTCACGTACCAGGTGGGCCAAGTGCCACACAGCTGAGCTAGCAGCAGGCAAAAACTGTTGCTTGGCGTGGCGTATGAGCACCTGGTAGTGCCGTACGAAACTTTCACTACGAATCAGGAGCTTCACAATTTCACAGCAGTGCGTGCTGCAGATGTTTTTACAACGAATCAGCATCAAAGTCGCCTATTCTTTACAATACATTAGCGATAACTTACATGTGACGAGATTTTGTCTTAGAAATCTCATAATCATGCTTAGCGTAACTGGGAGATATTCTTGACGAACGAGTGTATTCGGATGTCCCAGCTGTTGAAGTGTGCGTTGCTCACGTCCTGGCACTCCACTGCCATCTCGGAAGTGAGCATATCGAAAAGAAACGTCCATGAAACTTCGCTCTGATAAGCGCGCAGAGTGTACCCCCGATAGAGGTTTGAGGCTCAGCCTACACTAATAAAATTAGGCTGCGCCCTTGATAATGACGTCCCTGCGAAAAGGTAGTTTGAGCTTAAGCGCCTTGCGGCAGCTGTACCTTATCCCGCTGCCATGCAACTTGACCCTGAAAGGGACCCGGATGCACTGGACATCCTGACCCTGCGTTCTTACGCAGAGGCGATCACGGGTCAATACTCCTTTCCGTGGCAAACATCTATGGATGCAGAGATGGCATCCTGGAAGTCCACAGGCACCTATGTTAATGCACTTCCCCCTCTTGGGGCGAACACAACCGATGGTACGTGTATTTTCAGGGTAAAGTGGCCGCAGGGTTCCCCACCAATCTTCAAGGCGCATTAAGTTGCACGAGGCTTCAGTCAGTCTCGGGGGGTCGACTTCTTCCAACCCTTGCCACCCACTACGAAGATTACCATTCCTTAGGTACTACTGCTCATCGCGGCACATCGTGACTACGATCTGCACTCTCTCGACTTCTCGACAACATTTTTGCAGGGCAGCCTCAACGAAGAGATCTGGATACACCACTCACCTGGCATCGCTGGGTTGTTTCCTAAGGGCACCAAGTGGAGCCTCTGGCAGCCAATCTATGGTCTGCGTCCAACGCCCCGCAAGTGGCAAGACACACTAAGGACGATACTTGCGACTCTTGACTTCCTTTGACTGCCGAACCGCCCCTCATTTTGCGCACTAACTCTACTTTGCCGCCTTTCTACATCCTCGTGTATGTCAACAACTTGGTCTTTACGATTGCTGACACTGAGGCACTGGCCCTTGTGAAGTCGGAGCTACAGAAGAGACACACCTCTTGGGCGATCTGCGGAGCTATTTTGGCTTGCATATCACCTGGGAGAGAGCAGTGTGCACCATCACTCTGACTTAGTCACACATGGTGCAGCAGGTCCTTCAGCGCTTCCACTTTCAATTCTCCTTGCCACAGCTCACTCCTCTGCATACGGGCCACTCGCTCTCAGCTCCAACGGCGGATGAGTCTGTAGAGCCTATTGGTCCATATCTAGAGCTTGTGGGTTGCCTCATGTACCTAATGACGTGCACTCGGCCTGACGTTGCGCAGCACCCTCTCAGCATCATGGCGCGCTACGTTGCGCCGCTCCACCCAGAGCACTGGCGGGCTACTACGAGGGTGCTGCGCTACTTGGTCAGTACATCAGGCTTGGGACTTGTGCTTGGGGGACGGGGCTTAGTTGGACTTCACGGGGCTACAATTTCATTCTTGGCAATGGCTTATTCTCGTGGAGGTCCACTCGCTCGTCTTCTATGCTTAGCTCCAGCAGTGAGGCCGAGACCTACGCTGGGGCTATGGCCAGGAGTTATGCTGGCTAACCTACTTGCTCACCGACTTGGGTAAGCGGCCTCATTCTGCACCGGTCGTGCTCGTTGACAACAAGGCCATGATTGCCTTGTGTCGGGAGCAAAGGCTGGAGCATAAAACAAGGCACATTTCTCTTCGATACTTTCTCGTGCTAGAGTTGCTGCAGCGTGGTCAACTTCGCCTTTTGTACGTGGTCTCGAAGGCCAGCAGTGCTGATATTTTAGCGTTTCGGTACTACTCCTGGCCTTGTGCCTACTATTCCTCACTTGCTTACCTCTTGAGCCCGTCTTGTACTAGTGTAAACTATTATAAAAATGTATATATGCATGTGTAAACTCCCTAGGTTGTAATCATTGTACAATACTTGCTGCTAGAACACTTAATGTGAATTGGCCTTGTAGCCGCTTGCTTGTGCTCGGACTGTGTGGTGATCTTGGTTTCCCCCCCTGAACGTAGTTTTTGTTTCTTCTCTTGACCTATCTTGTGACCTCTTTGCATTGCTTGGTACCTGTCATTCTCCGTGGTGTCAAACTATTATATGCTTGTGGGGTGTAGTGGGGTGCCCTTTAAGTGGTATGATATTTTTAGGGCTTGTACGTGTACCCACTCCTACTAGCAACCTTCTTTCGGCTATTCACTTGTGGCAACAAACTGAAGCCCTCAGCCAAAATATGCCTATTACGTATCTTGGTGCATTTACTGCAATACATCGATAAGCCACCCCAAGCACAGAACCCTCGAGTACTTATGAGAGGGCCGGTGCTTTATTTTGGTAGGTTTGTGCTGTACCTCCCCCTCCAATCCAAAAACCTTTAGTCATACCAGTTTCTCATAGTAGGTCGAGCGGAATGGTTCGACTATGGGTGAAGGGTACACATGCCGAGAGTAATGTTGATAAGAATAGTCGTAATCACTCGAATATAAGACCTTAGGGTCTTATGAATACTGCAAGAGAAAATAATGGGGGGTCTTATGATGTGGTACTAACTATACGACCCAAGCCTTAAGAAATGATCCATGTTTTTTTAGCCGTATTTGAATGTAATGATCATATTGATGCTTGCTTTGTAATATAAACTCAGAAAACGAGCATGACGATGAGTTCTGGCAACATTTGTTCGTATAGGAATAAACACACTTGTTACTTTCTCATTGGGCAGAAAAACAGACAATCATATCTAATGCACATATGTTCACAACAGCGTGTATGGCACATCGTGCCAACTCGGCATTGTCAATCCATGCACGCTTCTATAGATGGTCACATCGCACAGTACTGCTCTATCTGTTGTCTTCACCCTTGCAAAAGGCACATCAACGTTATCTTCTTCGTTTGACGTCCTGCTCCACCCGCTTCTTCTTCATACTGTTTTGCTTGACATGCTCTAAGACATGATCAAATGTGGCAATTTAAGCTTGTCAATGTATATACAGCTTTTGATAGCGCATCAATCCACCATGGTTACTTCTCCAGACGTTGGGAACATCGGATGACAGACGTTGTCGTCCCCCGGTTGTCCGACAATCCCCTTTTGTTAGGCTGCAGCCTAGGCACGTCATGTCGTCCAGGTACACTACTACGCACTCGTCCA